GGCGGCGCCCACGCGGAGCTCGAAGGCGCGCAGGGCCTCGTAGTCCAGCGAGCGCAGCGCGAACAGCCGGCCGCGGTCGGCGTTCACGGACACCAGGGCGGCCGGCGCCAGCCGCGGGTCGGGGGGCGGCAGCAGCGAGTAGGTGACCTGGGCGTTGGCGCCCGCGTCCGCGTCGGTGGCGCTGACGCTGCCGATGTGCAGGGCGGGGCGGTTGTTCTCGCGGACCAGCAGGGTGTAGACGGCCCGGGTGAAGGCGGGGGCGTTGTCGTTGACGTCGGAGACCCGCACGGTGACGTGGTGCTGGGTCTTCAGCGCGGGAGTCCCCAGGTCGGTGGCGGTGATGGTGACGTTGTACTCGGATCTTGCTTCTCTGTCGAGTGCTCTCTCTGTTACCAAGGTGTAAAAGTTTTTCACGGAAGGTTTTAGAAGAAAAGGAATATCTTCCTGGATGGAGGGAATCGTCTTCCCATTGTTTCCGGAGTCAGGATCTGAGACACTGAAAACAGCAACTACTGTCTCAGGCGAGTTCTCTGGAATGGGGCTGGTGAGTGCAGACGTGGTCACTTCTGGGGGATTATCGTTCACGTCCACTAGCTGCAGAAGAAGAGTGCATTTTCCTGAAAGACCTCCCCCATCCGTGGCTTTGATGTCCACTTCATAAGATTGGACTGTTTCAAAATCGACTGGTTTTCTCAGCCGAATTTCTCCTGTCATAGAATTTACCTCCAAGGTTTTGCTGATTTCTTCCGAAGGCTGGAAGAGTGTGTAGGATATTTTACTGTTGACTCCGCTGTCTAAATCCCTGGCGGAGACTGTGACAACCAGGGAGCCAGTGGGGCTGCTCTCGGGAATCTGCACTCTGTAGAGCGGTTGCTGAAACTCAGGGGCGTTATCGTTGGTGTCCACCACTTCAACACAGACTTGGACGGTCCCAGACCTGGGTGGAGAGCCGCCATCCAGTGCTGTTAGGGTTAGTCTTAGTTCAGGCTCCCGCTCCCGATCCAGCTCTTTATCTAACACCAGTTCAGGGTATTTCCTGCCGTCACTGCGTTCTCGGGTCAGAACGCGGAAATGGGGGTTGGGACTGATTTTATAGTTCTGAACATTATTGGTACCTACGTCCAAGTCCACAGCATTATTCAGAGGGAATGCATTTCCTAGAGGACTGTTTTCTGGTATTTTTAGAATCGTTTCTCTTTCCGTGAACACAGGAGAATGGTCATTTATGTCTCTCACCCTCAGTTCAGCCTGAAATATTTCTAAGGGTTTTTCCATTAACACTTGGAAATGTAGTACGCAAGGCTCAGTGGGGCCACATAGCTCCTCTCGATCTAGCTTCTCGTTTATGAGCAAATCGCCAGTTTGAACCTTGAGCTGCAAAGGCTCTTTGTTCCCCTGGGAAATGATCCGGGCCCCATGGGAGGACAGCTCCGTCAATCCCAACTCCAGGTCTTTTCCTAGATCTGCCACGAAAGAGCCCCTCTCCATTTCCTCCACCATGGAATAAGGCCCCAACTCGGTGCCCGCCCCAGACATGCCCAGCAAAACAAAGAAAACCAGGACTTGCCTCTGTCTCCGATGGCGCATCTGTCCTCTCTCCATTGCTCTTTCCTGAAAAGTTGGTTCACAGAAGCTTCCTGTGTACACAGCCCAGGATCCTGGTGGCGTGGCTCTGCAGCCCAGAACGTCAGAACCAAGCCGGTAAGGAGTGTTTTAAAGAGGCTTCACATTCGGTTTTGCTCTGACTGAGAGAGCTATTCTTTTACTCCCAGGCGGTGCGAAATTCTCTGGCTGGATACTGGAGCTGCTTAGGTGCAGTAATTTTGTTTTCCATCATCTTAACCTGCAGCGCCACCACGCGTTCTCATTGGGTCTTGTATTTTCTGGTTTAACGTTGGAGACACAATTCTGAATGTACCGAATAGGCTATGCGGTATGAAATAGTTCTGTTTTCATGTGGCTTTTGTGTGTACAGATAGAGCTCTGTGGTATCACATGGAGAGGAGTACAAAGAGCAAACTGTCTCTTATATTACTGACTGGTTAATACTGTTGAGTTTTTAAAGATTCAATAAAAATGTAATGAACATTTAAGCTGAGAAGGAATATACACTTAGAAGCAAAATGTTTCTGAAGTAACATGGGAGCAGTTTCACATGTACATCTTTTTCATAGTATGTTTTATAGACACTGAGTAGACACGGCAAAATTGCCATCAGAGGTAGGTCTAAGGAAGACATTTAACCAATGCTTTATTAAAAAGTAAGTTATTTCCTCTTCTTTTCAACACCTAGGCCTGAGAACTGTGAGTTTTTGCAACTTTCAAGCCATTGAAAAATTATTTCCCAAATAGGCAGATCTCAAGGTTGGGCTTGCCATCCCTTCAAATTCACTCCCCCCCCCCTTTTTTTTTATCATGACAAGAATAATTTAGTTTTTTAAAACAGCTTTAATAAGATATAATTAAATACATACCATATAATTCACCCATTTGAAATATACAATTCAGTGGCTTTTAACATATTTACTGAGTTGTGAGTCTATCATCACAATTTTAGAACATTTTCATTACCTCAAAAGAAACCTTTTATCCTGAACTATCACCCCTGCCCATTCTCCCATTCCTCTTGCCCAAAGTCCTAAATAATCAACAATCTACTTTCTGTTTCTATAGAGTTTCCTATTCTGGACTTTCACATGACTGAAGTCATATGTGGGCTTTTGTGACTGACTTCTTTCATTTGGCATAACACTTGAAAGTTTCATCCAAATTGTAGCAATACTTTCTCCATTTTATGGCCAAATAATATTCCACTGAGTGGATTTATTGCATTATATTATCCATTCATCCACGGTTGGAAATTTGGATTATATTAATCTTTTGGCTACTATGATTAATGCTGCTATAAACATGCATGTATGTGTTTGTGTGGACATGTTTTCATTTCTCTGAGAGAAATGGGTTTCCCAGCAAAATTTCTGGATCATATGGTATTTGTTTAATTGTTTGAGGAACCGTCAGACTGTTTTACAAAGTGACTTCACCATTTTATGTTTCCACCAGAGTTCCAATTTTTTTCATATCCTCCCAACAGTTGTTATCTGAGTTTTTTTTTATTATAGCCATTCCAATGTGTGTGAAATGGTATGTTGTGAGTTTGATTTGCATTTCACAAATGACTAATTATGTGGAGCATCTTTTCACGTGTATAGTGTCCATTTGTATATCTTCCTTGAGGAAATCTGTATTTAGATCTTTGCCTATTTTTAATTGGGCTATTTATCTTTTTATTATTGGGTTGTAAGAATTCCTTATTCTAGATGAAGTTTCCTTATTAGATTTTGATTCTTTAGTTTGGATTTTCTACTATCATAATTTGCATTGCAGTAAAAATCCATGATATCTTTATTAATGTAGTGTTTTTGTTAATAATTTTTAGAAGTTTATGAATGATCTTGTCTTAGGTTAAATTATGTGACTAAACTCCTGGTATAAAGACCTTTATGTTCTCTCCTTGTCAGGTGTTGCTGCTAGACTAATTTTTTCCAAGCAGCCAACATGTGGTAGACAGAATAATGGCCAATTAAGATGCCTCTACCCTAATTCCCCAATTCTGCAAATATGTTACCTTATATGGCAAAAGATTCTTTGCAGATGTAATTAAATTAAGAATTTTGTGGAGGGGAGATTATCCTGTGTTATCTGGATTATTCTGTGTTATCTGGAACCCATGCACAACTTTTTTTCTAGCATAATTTCTAGGAAGAGTTGCCAAAGATATATGGTTAATTTTAATGGGAAATAACTGGAGTCCATCAGGTTTTCCCCACTTCCTAAATTTCCAAAATTGCTAAGTTTTTAAGTGATAAAAATGCCTCTGCAACATTGCCTGTCCTTTTCTGAAATTAGTTATTTCATTTAGAATTAATACTAGAACAGCAGCTGCTTTCAAATAAATGGTATGCTAAAACGAACATAGTGTATTTAATTTCAACAAGGGATTTATAAAAATGTATGTAACAGGCCGGGCTCGGTGGCTCAGCCTGTAATCCCAGAACTTTGGGCGGCTGAAGCAAGAGGATTGCCTGAGCCCTCAGGTTAGAGACTCACCTGGGCAACTTGGCGAGACCTCGTCTCTACAATAAATAAAAAATTGGCTGGGTGTAGTAGTGTGCACCTGTAGTTCCAGCTACTTGGAAGGCTGAGGCAGAAGGATCACCTAAACCCAGCAGGTCGAGGTTGCAGTGGCTGGAAGTGTGCCACAGCCCTCCAGCCTGGGTGACAGAGCGAGACTCCAACTCAAAAAAAAAAAAGTGCGTAACAAAGCAAAGTTGTAACTTCCCAAAGGTATATTATGTGCATACTATATATACACAATTTTGGGGGTGTGTGTGTGTATGGAAAAATAATTAAAAAAGAGCAAAAGAAGTGCAAGAAATTCAATCAAAGCTGCAATAATGAATGCGACATGTTGGGAAGGTGTAGAATATAATTAGGCTTATTTGCTCATTATAAAGATCATTTGTGGTGTCAGATCCAGTTTACTTAGGCCAGCGTTTCTATAAGAACTTTGAGTTTAGTGATCTAGAGTAGTGTGCTCATTGGTATAGAAACAAATACAAACTATAGAATACAATTTACATTTCTACATGGGAGTTTAGTTCATGGAATAGAAACAGGAATAACAGATACATTTCACTTCCTTAGTTAGAAAAATGATGCTATCATTTAATGCCTGACAATTAGCATACTGGTTGAGAACTGAAGTATTCCTCAATTGTATTTCAAATTTTTTCTTTTGTTTCTTCAGAATTATGAACAAGTTACTCAGCCTCTTAAAGCCTCAGTTTTCTCACAGTTAAAAAAAAGGGGACAATGTGCCAACTCACTTGGAAAAAATATTTAAAAGATAATAAATGTAAAGCACTCTGTACACCACCTTAAACTAAATTAGATGTCAAGAAAAGCTTAAAACATATCAGTTAGATTAAACTGTACACTTAAGATCTGGGCATTTTACTGCATACATAACATTTTGATTAAAATTGTACTGTAAAAGAATTATTAGTATACTTCATTGCAGGGAGCAACTAAAATAATTGGCATTTTAAAAGAAAAGTTCCTTTATATATTAAGAAAAACTAGTTTAGATGTAGGCAATGCAGAGATGACATGATGACTCCATGAACACAAGGAATGTTTGTCTCTTTTAAGTTTATTCTATACTAATTGTCTTAGTTCACTGTTTCCATCACTAGGGTCCAATGTGGCTGTTTTTGTACTAGCCCTGGAATACACATAGAGGGCACAAGGAACACTTAGAGAAGGAAAAAAAGAGGACCCCTTCTAGATGAGTTATTGCCCTTTACATAGTTTTCTCAGAAGTCTACAATGTTTGTATCTAAATCTCATGGACTCTAATCCAATCATATGTCCAGTTCTTGTGGCCACGAAGACTGCAAAAGTGTATTATTTTGACTAAACATACTAATACCCTGAATGAAATTTGGAATATATTACCAAAGAAGAAAGGATAAATAGATATGGGTGGTCAATGCATGATCAATGTTTCTCAAAGGAGAAGAACCAGTTTCACCACCATACTGCTTGGTCTCACTAAATAAGTATAGTAAAGCTTTCCCCCGACTTTAACACCACAAAGCTAAGTGAAAAGTAAATTGAAATAATTATATTAAAACTAATACTATTATAGTAATGAAAGGCAACACAATTATAAAAAATTTGAGGCGAAAATAGCATCAGAGGCGAGTCAGCGCTGCGAGGGAAAAATAAAGCAGCAGCCAGACATTCTCACTGTACCGGTTGTCTTTTCTTCCTGACTAGAGTCACTGTGTTAGTGTGTTACTGCCCCGGATATATCTAATCTTTTAAGAACTGATAAAATCTACAAGGAACTATAGTTGATTATGTAGAAATAATTTTCCACCGTTTCACCCTTGTATATTCCTGAGCAATTTTAGGACAAAATTTGTACAATTAAGACCTCATCAATGTTTTGATTGACAGATTTAGGACCATCCACTAGTAATACAAAAAATGAGATCCCATGTTTTAAAAATAACAATAATGTGAGACATCCTACAGACAAATTAGTGTTAGAATTTAGAATAGATGGATGGAAAAACAATTATTTTGAATTTATGACAAAAATTAAAATATAGAATGTAAAAAAAAATTATTCTAATTGAGAGCTAATACCAAAGTCACTCCTAATGTTGAGATTTCCTTCCATTTCTGCTCTTGGGACCTGGCTCTGGATGTTAGGCAAAATTGGCTTCAGGAACTTGAACTCGCCGGCCCCCGAGCCTCCCGTCAGGCACACCTCATACCCGCAGCTCCGCGACAGCGTCCCGGCGCCGCCGACGGCCGCCAGGCGGCCCG